CGTATTTTTATTTCCGGACTTATTATTTATAAAAAAAAATTAATACTGTTCCCACTCAATAACCGTTAAGCCAATAATTTTATACACAAAATATAAAAGTGATTATGCATGGGAAAATATTTAATTTGATCAAAGTTTACTGATTTTCAATAAAAAATAGTCGCCCGCGTGGGGCAGTGGTTAGGGCGTTTGCTCTAGTGTCGCGGTGTAAGATGATCCTTCGGACGAGACCGTATAAACCGATGTCCCGTGTGCAATAGGTGCTGGCACGAAAAAGATCTCTGCTCAATGGCCCTGAGTGCCAATTTGCAGCCCTCCACCGGCAAGTAGTGTCGTCTCCATAAGAGTAAAAATTTCTCGAAAGGGACGATAATCAACAAACAAACAATCAAACAAACAAAACAATGAAAAAAGAATTGGATTTCGCTGAGCAGCTGGTGTTTGGCGTAGTTGTGTGACGTCACCATTGCATATTACGTCATTTTTGTATAACTATAATTAGCTTTGATCTCACTGTAAAAAAACATTAAGGACTTCCACAAAAAACATTGTTAAAAAATCGTAGAATTTCTCGGTCGTTTATAGCAGAGAATAACGAACTTTGTTCTTTATGTGTGCTTTGGACTATTCTTTGAATTTCATGATTATATCACCGAGCAAAATTAACATTTTTGAAATAAATAACTTCAAACTTCTTATTATATTATACTAAATATGGGCATTTATCTGTTAAATTCTCTATCTATTATCATTGTGTGTCTACTATTTAGTTTATTGTGTCTCATTCTCTTTGAAGCAGGATTAAGACATTCCAGTTGACTTTGAGTGACTGTAAAAAGAATTGATACTCGTTAGGTGTAAATGCCTCAGGACCTGTTAATCTTATATCAAAAACTTTGTTTATATAATTAATTAGCATTTTTTTAAGCCCATTCTATCAAAGAAACACACCTGTCCATCAATAAATTCAGCCAGTGTCATAATTCAGTTACTGTTTACTCTCTATCTAACAAAAATCTATTTCCATTATACCTTCTTCAGTTTGGAGGCCCGATGCTCGAAGGGCCACATCCAACTCGATGGGATAAAACTTGTAAACTATTGTTGAAATTCATGTTGGTTGTTATTTACCATCTTCTAAACTAAATTCGGAAACCTGATTTTACCAGTTCTTGGACTTTATATTGGAAGACCAAAAGGAATACGGCACCTTTCTTATTTCCATTATATTATGACCCACAGCGCTGCTACATATTACCCGCCAACATTCCCTTTTCCCAGTTTGTGCTTAAAATGCGAATGTAGTCCAAGAATTACTTTTATAACTTTATAAACAAAATCTACCTGGTTATAATTACATTAATTTACAAAAACGCACTTTTGCTTGAAATGTTTAAGCGCGTGTGATACAGAAGTGAATGTCTTTAACCAGAATAAATACATATTTTTTTTTCAATGCCTTGTAACAAAATACATTACCCAGACATTTTGCTCCGCCAAGAAAAAGAAATGGAAGATAAAATGACGTAATGGATTTCTCCATTTTGCGGCTCTTTTAATCCACAGAAACGTTCCACTGTGAAATGACTAACGAAAAATGAGGAAGTATATTTTTTTAATTGTATATTGATACTAGGCATGTAAATTCGATTAATTAATTACATGTAACAATAGAAAATATACACATTTACCTGAGGTCAAGTAAAATCTTCCTCAAACTACACGTACATTTGTATATTTTGCTCAGCCTGATCTCTCGAGTTTCATTATTTGAAAAGAACATATGCAAATGAATCGAAAAGACAGGACTTCGGAAACCGAAACATATAAAAACGAAACTGTAATAGGAAATATTTACTTCTACTGTAGTAGGGGATCAGATTTTATATATCATTTGATATAATGTGTGACATAAAAAGGAAATACAGTAATTGATCCGTGCATTTGATAGAAACACAATTATAGGATTTATAGTCTCTTAAAAATATTGTCACGTTCTAAATATGTGCGAGTTCTACAGTGTATATAGTAATGCTAGTTAGATAACAGTAGAAATACTTACCAAAGGATTTCAATTCTAACAAAATTATATTTGTATTTCTGGCAGTAATATATTATAAATGGCCTCTACATGTATACACATTATGTATTCTGAATGTGACCGAATAACAAGAGGCCCATGGGCCACATCGCTCACCTGAGCACATTGGCTAGGCAAAAGCACAAATCAGTTCAGTATTGAAAAGATTACCTGGGGTTTGGGGGGAGGGGAGGGCTTGAATTTTAAACTACCTGATGATGCTTCCATGTCAATATAACAAATGGCTTTATTGTACTTGTAAAGATTTTAAAAAAATTTTCCCATATATTCCTTTGTAAAAATTTGATCCTCCATTGTGGCTCCTCCTTCTCTCAGGGGTCATCATTTGAACTTGAATCTACACTACCTGAGGATGCTTCCATATCAATATGACTAAACATAGCTTTCCTGTACTTGAGAAGAAATATTTTCTCTATATGTTCTTATGTAAAACTTTCGATCCCCCAATGGGCCCCATCCAACCCCTGGGGGTCATCATTTGAACAAAATTGAATCTACACTACCTGAGGATGCTTCCATATCAAAATGACTAATCATGGTTTGCAGTTCTTCAGAAGAAGATATTTCCCTATATATTTCTACTTAAGACTTTGATCCTCCATTGTGGCCCCATCCTACCCACGGGGGTCATGATTTGAACAAAATAGAATCTACACTACCTGAGGATGCTTCCATATAAATATGATCAATCAGGGCTTTGCTGTTTCTGAGAAGAAGATTTTTAAAATTTTTCATATACATTTCTATGTAAAACTTTGATCCTCCATTGTGGCCCCGCCCTACCCCCGGGGGTCATTATTTGAATAAATTTGAATCTACACTACCTGTGGATGTTTCCATATAAATATGAACAATCTGGGCTTTGCTGTTCCTGGGAAGAAGATTTTTCCTATATATTTCTATGTACAACTTTGATAGTCCATTGCAGCCCTGCCCTACCCCCGGTGGTCATGATTTGAACAAACTTGAATCTACACTACCTGAGAACGCTTCCATATAAATATGACTCATCATGGCTTTGCTTTTCTTGTTGAGAAGATTTTTAAAGATTTTTCCTATATATTATTTCTATATAAAACTTTGATCCTCCATTGTGGCCCCGCCCTACCCCTGGGGGTCATGATTTGAACAAACTTGAATCTACACTACCTGAGGACGCTTACATATAAATATGACTCATCATGACTTTGTGGTTCTTGATAAGAAGATTTTTAAAGATTTTTCCTATATATTTCTATGTAAAACTTTGATCCTCCATTGTGGCCACGCCCTACCCTCGGGGGTCATAGTTTGTACAAACTTGAATCTACACTACCTGAGGATGCTTCCATATAAATATGACCCATCATGGCTTTGCTGTTCTTGAGAAGAAGATTTTTAAAGATTTTTCCTAAATATTTCTATGTAAAACTTTGATCCTCCATTGTGGCCCTGCCCTACCCCTGGGGATCGTGATTTGAATAAATTTGAATCTACACTACCTGTGGATGTTTCCATATAAATATTACTCATCATGACTTTGCTGTTCTTGAGAAGAAGATTTTTAAAGATTTTTCCTATAAATTTCTTTGTAAAACTTTGATCCTCCATTGTGGCCCCGCCCTACCCCTGGGGTCATGATTTTAACAAACTTGAATCTACACTACCCGAAGATGCTTCCATATAAATATTACTCGTCATGACTTTGCTGTTCTTGAGAAGAAGATTTTTAAAGATTTTTCCTAAATATTTCTATGTAAAACTTTGATCCTCCATTGTGGCCACGCCCTACCCCTGGGGGTCATGATTTGAATAAATTTGAATCTACACTACCTGTGGATGTTTCCATATAAATATTACTCATCATGACTTTGCTGTTCTTGAGAAAAAGATTTTTAAAGATTTTTCCTATATATTTCTATGTAAAACTTTGATCCTCCATTGTGGCCCCGCCCTACCCCCGGGGGTCATGATTTGAACAAACTTGAATCTACACTACCTGAGGATGCTTCCATATAAATATGACTCATCATGGCTTTGCTGTTCTTGAGAAGAAGATTTTTAAAGATTTTTCCTATATATTTCTATATAAAACTTTGATCCTCCATTGTGGCCCCGCCCTACCCCCGGGGGTCATGATTTTAACAAACTTGAATGTACACTACTTGAGGATGCTTCCACATGAGTTTCATCTTTCCTGGCCCTATGGTTCTTGAGAAGAAGATTTTTAAATGTTGCCATTATTTTTTTACTAATTCCTAATTATCTCCCCTTGAAAAAGGGCGTGGCCCTTCATTTGAACAAACTTGAATCCCATTTTCCCAAGAATACTTTGTGGCAAGTTTGGTTGAAATTGGCCCAGTGGTTCTTGAGAAGAAGTCGAAAATGTGAAAAGTTTACAGACAGACAGACAGACAGACGGACAGACAGACAGACGGACGCCGGACAAAATGTGATCAGAAAAGCTCACTTGAGCTTTCAGCTCAGGTGAGCTAAAAATGATGTAAAATGGGTTAACTGATAAGCTGTGAATAAATTTTCAAAACTATGATATGCATATATATGAAACATATTTCATACAAGAAAAAAAAAGAAAACACGAAAAATATTCAAAGAATCTTGAGGCAAGTATACCAGTAGAATTTTCAGAAGATATTTAAAAAAATGTTATTGCATTATTTGGTCGTGATGAACTTAAGAAGCATTTTGAACAAATGTTATACAATCTACTATTCAGATCTTTTTGTTAAGAATTTATAACCAATATTATTATTATTAGTCTCATTGTGCAGAAATTTTTATACAATGACAGATGAAATATTATAAAGTTCACGACTGTTTATGGAATTTTTTAAGAATGGTAATCTGTGTTCCAAACATCTGAACATTTTTTAAAATGACAGACAGGATTCCGAGCACTTCACATATTGGCGTATGTTCCGCTTGTTGAAACGGATCGGGATACTAATTGGTAGCATTTTCTATACTCTTCCTGAAACCAGAAATAAAGAAAAATGATTTAAATGATACACAGAATGTCATACAAATAACATATTTTGTTAAGAAATAAATAACAAGTTTAAAAACTTTTTTGATAAATGAAGTGGGTCGGTCACGTGATCAAATCCTGTGAAGGCCGAAGGTCTTCTCATCAGATTTGATCACGTACCGACCCACTTCATTTCCCAGTGAAATTTTTAAACTTTTTATTTATTACTTATATATACATTTGAGACGGACAATCGAATATAAATATTGCACTAACTGTTCATGATAGATTTTGACAAATTACGCAAGGCTTGAAAAGCGGCTACGCTTCAAATTCATCTGGCAAAGGATTCTGTTTTTAAGGGAATATTTTGTGAATGGCTACTTGTGATCAATTATTGTGAGTATATTGGTGTCTTGGAATTTTTGTATTCATGGGAACCCATATTCGATGTTTAAAAAACACAAGAAACACGTCCGATGTTTGATAATAAAAAGTTGGAGGAATTTCTGTCCGAAAGGGATGGATGGAGACACTTGTCCGGACCATGACCAGTTAACTTGAAATCAAGTATAAAATGATCAGAACATAAAATCTACGATTTCAGTAAGGCATATTTATTATGATGTTGACATGGAGGAACTGGCGCCAACTTACATTGCTAAGACAACGATCTCGATGATGGAGGTGTGCCTACCGAACTTTCGAAGTGCAGAGTTTGTCAGCTGTTTGTGGCGTGATTGCATTAGATTGATATTTTCCATAAGATTTTCAAATTTATTGTGAGTAAAGTTTAATGAATTTTTTTAAAGCATTCAGAGGTCTACAAGAAAAATAAGGGTACAAACATTGAGAAAATGCAGTTCAGACATGAGACTTATAACACGTAGTTTTCTATTCTCTATGTAAAATCGATCAAGAACTGTATTAAATACATACTCGTTTACATTGTAAATAAAAGGATTATTATTTCACTTGCGTATTTTTGTACATTTTTATGCATGAAAAACATGCTATATTGCTAAGTAGAGTAATTCTTTTTATGTAGATATAACTGCGCTGTGTGATTAGGTCAGGTAATGACTTATGACCTTCGAAAAACTTCATACAGGTATGAAGATATTTGCTCTTTGTATGTGTATATAATAGAGAGATACCACAAATGTATATATTTATTTTTGGAGGTTCGGGAAAAATATCTTAATAATTAGTATTGCAATTACCTCGCCGTTATCTACCTAATTGCCGCTCTTTTTCGGGACAGAAGGGAGATTGGGATGACAATCGCATGACTCGAACAATGAGTACCATACAAATACACCTTATTTGCGAAGACTGTACCTCAGATTATATGTCTTCGAATTTGGAATATTTATAGTAGTTGACTGACTTTCAAAAATAATAAGTGTCAGAATGAAGTGCTTGAAATTAATTAAACGAGTCGGCTTGAAAATGTAACACAAGAGGACGAGTTCCTTCTAATTTTTGTTCATAGAATGGTGCATGGAATGTTTGGCAAGATATTTCACCAGCATGTCTTTCTAAGGTGTACTTAAGTAGTGTAGAGTAACAGATCTCCCGTTCAAAGCACATTTTCCACATCCCCCGAGAAATAATTTCGCTTAGTTAACGTATTCGCTATATCAATTATTGCTTTATCTATTCTTTACTTTTTTTATTTGTGTGTGACCGGTTGGCAGGGGATGCTCACTCCTCCATGGCATCTGATCCCACCTCTGATGTTTGGAGGTCCGTGTTTGCTCTGCTCCTGTTTTGTATTGTTTGATGGACTTTTGAGCCGGAATACTGTTCGTTATCTTCATATATTTTATTTACCAGGCATTTTTAGGTTTGAGGAATCTTTCTTCTGTCGCAGACACATTTGGTGATTGTTCAGAACGTCATATCAATCGCATACTATTGATATTTTTAAAGAAGGGGTGAGCAATTGCCTAACCTATCGTAATCTAAACTTGTTATGTATAAGGATACTTCTTTCCGCCTCACTCACCAGCTTGTTGATTACTTCCGGTCTTCTAGTTTGCAGTTGCCGGACAATAGTAAATATATCAACCTCTCCATCCATACGAAGTTGTTGTAGAGCATTATGTAAAACACAGAACAGTCCTGTTGCACCGGCACCATTTCTATGTAAGAGATATACCTTGAGAATACACGATTCACTAATATATTCATGTTTGTGTTTAAGTAGTGGATTAAATAATTATCTCATTAGAGGAACCAGGGACGTATACTAACGGGATAACGGGATGATCAACTCTCGCAAGTCTTGCGCTATCTCGTAAGTTGCAGGATATCGTAATTCACTTTTAGTTAAATATATCTCTAATGCTATCGAATATTTCAGGAATATTTCAGGACAAAAACTTAATTTATCCATCAATATATTATTTAAGATTTGATGGTAGCACTCTTTATACTCCTTATCTTAGTATAATTACGGTTTATTTCAAAATCAACATATGCCCCTGATCGGCCTTAATTCAAGAAATTCGCCGAATTTGGTGGTTGTTTGCTTTATATTTATATTATTATTTTACAATGTATGCTTTAAAATTTATTAAATTTCAATTCCAATAAATAAACAAAAAGGAACGTAATACGTTTATCACAAAATAAACTTTTTTTTACAATGAATAAACGTAGTTTGAAAAACTTGTTTTGTTGTATGTAACGTTTTGGGCTAAGAAACATAGTGCTGAAGGAGTTGCCTATCCCTTTAGTATATAAGTCCCTTGTTGAAAACTTCTGAAAAGCTTGCTGAGTTTTACTTGGAAATTCCGATTTGGAAACATTTAGAATTCTATTTTCAATTGTGCTTTGCAATTTAGTTATTTTAAAATTAATAACATTTCAGTTTATCTATATTTTTTTTTCATTTTAGAGCAATATGAATCCAATGTCAGAAGAAAATCATTTATTGAGCTAAACCAATCAGTTTATGGGTAAATAACAAGTGTTTTTGTCTCGCAGGGATATTATTATTGTCAAATTCTACATTTGTTCATACTCCAAGAGCTAATGGAAACGATGCCATGCACGGGAAACAAGTTTTAGTGTAATTCCTTTTGCTTTTTATGCAATACTTCCTTACTTGTGAAATTTTAAAGTATTGTTCATTTGCTATTAATTCGTTGCATAATTATCCAACGACCGGTTTGCAAAAATATAAATACAAAACCATTGTACATACTTGCTAATAACAAGAGAAGTCATAGTAGATTCCTTTTCTTTTTCTAGCAACATTTCAACCACCTTTATTACTTCATCATCATTCTTGGAATATATCTGGAAGACGTCCATGCTTTGTGTCTTGCCCTGAGGATACAATATTTACATGTTTTATGTAATTAACACTACAGTACAACTTAATTTATAATGCAAGAATCATTTTCCATAATGATTATATTTAAAGTCATATTGTAATGTTATTTTCACATTTGATATGTATTTTTCTTAAAAGAACATATAAACTGTGTTGAAAACTTTAAGCATTTAATTTTCAAATATACAGATGGGAATTATATCAGACATTTTAGACGGATAATTGGTCATTTTTATTGTTTTCACGTTTTTCGTCCATATTTTTTTTAATTTGCTTGTTACTGTAATAAGGGTAAAATTAAGAATGACAATTATACATTTCCTCTATTTTTAAGGTAAAAAAAGGGCGGGGGGACGTGCACTATATTTTCATGCTCTAGCACAAATTTGCTGTGCTATGACGTTATATTCCGTTATTATGCCATTACTATAGGAAGGTAGCACTATTCTTGGCTGTTCTACACATTTTGCATATGATTTTAAAAGAAGTAAAACAACTAAAGATAAACTTGAACCATAAAAATGTTACCTGAGAATATAAGTATAAGCACTGAATTAGTATATTTGACATGCATTGTTTCATAACACGAAAGTCTGTGCTAAAAAATGCTTCATTGCGAGCTAACGCACGTTACTCAATTTGTCAGCACAGCTGTCCGTGTTATGAAACAATATAAAGAAACAATCGAAAGATATTGATTTAATGCTTAAATGTGTTTTTGACAGATAGGTCAGTAAATCAACAAACATCACGTAAAACAAGTAAGCTGCATTGATCGACTCCGTAAATGTTCATCCCCGTCCTCCTGACTGTTATCACATATGGTGGACAAGATCGATTTCCCCCTCTTGCAGGTAACCATTGGTTATCCTTATTAAGACAGAATCATGAAGAAAATAAATCGTGGTGATAATAATCTAGATAATAATAATACATATGAGTGATTATTTTCCACAGTCTAATAAGAAAAAAAAATCTAGAAATAGATTTTAAAAAATAGGAAAATGATTAGTCGGATTTAGATAGATAATAACCAAAAAAAAAAAAAAAAAAAAAAAAAAAAAAAAAAAAAAAAAAAAAGAAAAGAAAAGAAAAGAAAAAAAAAAGAAATCCAACGAACTAATTATCAATTCCATTATTAGGAATTTGATTTATTGTACCTCATCAAAGCCATTGAGGACCACCATTTCCCCCACTTGGTAGTCCATGCACAATCTCCAGAGATCTATTTCCGTATCAGGGAGAGGTTTCTGAGTTAGAATAAACCCAGCTGGATGAGTAAATGACTAAAATAAAAACATTCATGTAATATACTAATTGATAAGGGGAATTTTCTTTGTTGTGAAGGTATAATCTACCTTAAGATTAACAGGAATGCGGGACAAAGTTTTACAAGAATATAATATAACTCTTACATACGGGAACAATCACTGCATTTATATACTCATTTCTTCCCTTTGCATTTGATGCTAGAAATGGTCGATATTTTGACACTAAAACAATAGAACAATTAGAACAATTTCAATATTGAAAGGATTACCACGTCGCTTAATTAGAAGAAAGTCCTCTAATCTAAAATAAAGACATCAATATTTTCTAACGTTGATAGTTTACCTGGTAATATACCCATGTAAACATTTTTTGATCTGTTCGCTGAGCTCAAAGCGTCCTCTTTACATTCCATCTCGTAAACTGGAATCATGGTTTCTAAGAACTAAAATAGTAAAATAGTAAATAATAAAAATGTAATTTTCAGTGGTATTATTATTATTATTGTTTTTTGAATTCTGATAGAAATGAAAACAAGAGGCCCATGGGCCACAACGCTCACCTGAGTCAATATGGCCCTGTTGTTCTTCGTCAGCAGATTTTCCTCCTATATATTCATATGTAAAGCTTTGATCGCCTGTCACCAAACTTGAATCTATACTACCTGAGGATGCTTCCAAATCAATATGACTCATCATGGCTTTGTTGTTCTTGAGAAGAAGATTTTTTAAAGATATTTCCTATACATGATCTTTTGTAAAACTTTGATCCCCCATTATGGTCCCACCCTACTACTGGAGGATGCCTTGAACAAACTTGAATCTACAATACCTGGATGCTTCCATATCAATATGACTAATCATGGCTTTCCTGTTCTTGAAAAGATTTTTAAAGATTTTTCCTATATATTCCTATGTAAAACTTTGATCCCCCATTGTGGCCTCACCCTACCCTCAAGGGTCATGATTTGAAAAAAAAAAAAAAATCTACACTACCTAAGGATGATTCCATATTCAATATAACTATATAACTAATCGTGGCTTTGTTGTTCTGTAGAAAAAAGATTTTAAAGATTTTTTTTCTATATATTCCTATGTAAAACTTTGATCACCCATTGTGGCCCCATCCTACCCACGGGGGTCATGATTTGAAGAAACTTGAATCTACACAACCTGAGGATGATTCCGTATCAATAAGACTAATTATGGCATAGCAGTTCTTGAGAAGAAGATTTTAAAAGTTTTTTCCTATATATTACTATGTATTAAAAACATTGATTCCCCATTGTGGCCCCACCCTAGCCCCGGGGGTCATGATTTGAATAAACTTGAATCTACACTACCTGAGGAGGATTCCATATCAATATGACTAATTGTGGCTTTGTTGTTATTGAGAAGAAGAATTTTAAAATATTTTTCCTAAATATTCTTATGTAAAACTTTGATCCCCCATTGTGGCCCCACCCTACCCCTGGGGGTCATGGTTTGAAGAAACTTGAATCTACACTACCTGAGGATGATTCCATATCAATATGACTAATTGTGGCTTTGTTGTTCTTGAGAAGAAGATTTTTTCAAGATTTTTTCTATGTATTCCTATGTAAAACTTTGATCACCCATTGTGGCCCCACCCTACCCCTGGGGGTCATGATTTGAAGAAACTTGAATCTACACTACCTGAGGATGATTCCATTTCAATATGACTAATTGTGGCTTTGTTGTTCTTTAGAAGAAGAATTTTAAAGACATTTCCTATATATTCCTATGTAAAACTTTGATCCCTCATTCTGGCCCCACCCTACCCCCGGTAGTCATGATTTGAACGAACTTGAATCTACACTACCTGAGGATGACTCCGTATCAGTATAACTAATTGTGGCTTTGTTGTTATTGCGAAGAAGACTTTTAAAAATTTTTCCTATATATTCCAATGTAAAATTTTGATCCCCCATTCTGGCCCCACCCTACCCCTGGGGGTAATGATTTGAACAAACTTGAATCTACACTACGTAATGAAGGACTCACATAAGTTTCAACTTTTCTGGCCCAATGGTTCTTGAGAAGATTTTTAAAAGATGACACCAAATTTTCACCAATTCTTAATTATCTCCCCTTGAAAGAGGGTGTGGCCCTTCATTTGAAGAAACTTAAATTCCTTTTACCCAAGGATGCTTTGTGGCAAGTTTGGGTGAAATTGGCCCAGTGGTTCTGGAGAAGAAGTCGAAAATGTGAAAAGTTTACAAACGGACGGACGGACAGCGCAGTACAGTTAAGGCTACCCATGAACCTTTTATGGTAATGAGGTCATAATGAGGTTTGACGTCATGACAGCTCCGCCCTGATATATCTATATAAGGAATTAGACCTCAAAATAACTATTTAACGACAATTGCAAAAAAATTGTAACAAATGTCAGTATTCTTGTCTTTAAATAAATTAGAAATAGTGATTTTCTTTTGTTTAGAACATCATGTTGTCGAAATAATTCGCTTTTTATTGTGTCGTTTGGCTGCACTCGGCTTCAGCCAAGCGCTTGCACTCAGTGACACGGAATGTTGTTTACATAAAGGACGTGGAGACAGCAGCTGAGATTTGCGGTGGAAAATACAGCAAACAGGTAAATCTTCTAAAGAGAACAGTAATAAAGTAACAGATTTATGGTTTGTTTATCAGATGATGCAGATATTTAGAGAAATCATGGACTACTGAGGCTATTGCACCCCACCTCTCTACCCTGGGCAGCTGCAGGGGTTTTCATATTTAGATTCGTATATTATGTACGCATAGGTATCAAGATTTAGACATACTATTGTTAACATCAATATGAAATAATGGAGTGTGTATGTATAATATGTTTACATGAAGGAAGATATATTGGCAGTGCCCAGGAGCTGTGTCAACCCCCCCCCCCCCCCCTTACACACACAACACACACAAACATGATATGAAGTTGCACATCAACAGTTTAATTTGCACTGAATATGCAATTCCTTGCCGTTCAATTAATTTTTGAGAGAATGTATGTATCATGGAGATCTGCAGGCATGCAAAAGTTTGCTGTTAAATTTATTAATATTAATTATTGTTAAATTTCAATCATTGATAAAAGATTCATTAAACATATAATTATGTTGACATACAATCATCTTAATATGTAATTTGAAAAGGAAAGCAGGATATCAAATGATAATTTAGCACATCCATAAAGTGTATATTTCTGTAAAGTGAAACTGTATTGTGTATGTAATATACATGCATGTATGGATTTTATACCCCAGTCCTGTAAATCAAAAATAGGATTTAAAGTTTAAATTTTCACCAGCTAGTGTTTCATACTTTAAAATAATTCTTAGCATCTGTATTATGAAATTCTAAATCTGTAGAATGATATTTCTAAATTATAATTGAATATCATGTTATTTTATTCTTCTGGTCTGAATACATGATGTACAATTCTTTCATCATTGTAGCTGTCAGGTGCTGCATGCATATAATCCAGAGTTATCTACAGAAAACATATGCAACAATTTCTAAACATGGTATGTTCACTATTAAAATATTTCACAATAATTTTATTGTATGCCAATATAACAGTTTTTTTAATTTTGAACAGATGAAAGAATTAAATCTATGAATTTGTTTCCTTTAATCAGTTATTTTCCAAGCTTAAATTGCTAAATTGCAAATGGCAGAGTTTTAAAATTCCCAGAGAAGTTTTGTAACAAAAGATTTCATGAATTTTAGAAAATGTTATATTACATGGTTTGTTTTGCACATTGCAGTGCCATTTATTTTAACTAATATGTATTTGACTCATTATATTTTTGGTATATTTTATGTTACAGTAGCTGTTCACAAAGAATTTGAACCATTCCAGTGTTGACGCAGGCAGCAAGTGTATGGACCAAGTAAAAAGGTATGCTTAATGATATCAACAACACACATATTCATGGCACTATTATTTAAAAAAAATGTTTTAATAAATAAAAACAGCAGAGTTACAGATATTTTGATACATTTTATGTGATTTCATTAGATTTTACTCATTACATTGTTTCAAATTTTACTGTTTTAATCACCAGCACACTTAATAATATTTCATTTTATTTTTAGAATGGATTTTATCCCAGAGTACATGTCTTGATGGAAAAACTATGCACCTGCTCAGAATTACCCTCAAAGCCTGGCTTTGTATGGGAGAAGCTGTAGTTATTAAATAAATTTACTAGATGAATAATACTTTAACTGTTATCTTTCAATGGCAACAGTGATATGAATGTCAGCTTTTAAGGCTGTAAAGGTGTGAAAATCCAGACTTGCATGAACATGGTGTTACATTGAACCAAATAAAGCCTAATATTGGCATAATTATATATTTATCATGATCATTTGGATCAAAGAAGTATAGTTTAGCTCGGGTGCTTTCATTTTTTTTTTTGAGAAAATATCAATCTCTAAGCTTTTATACACAAACAAGTTTATCACAGGAAAAGACCCCCCCTTTAAAAAACAAAATGAAAGCACCCGCTCTAAATGAGATGCAATGGTTATATCCTAATAAATAAAAACTAGATCATGATGTTTACAAGTTAACAATGCCCAAGTATATATCATTGTACTTTCATCAAGGGAGCTAAGAAGCAAAATATAAGGGGTTAGATATGCAGAAAGGAGGATAGAACTAATTATATTAACAGGTGTAAATAACCCTCACCTGGTTTTTATATCTGAGTAATTTATAAGCCAACAGAAACTCTTAAACAAAAGAAGATTTTGGAGAGCCACTGAGGAAAACCCATATGTGAAACTTCATTCTGTTGCAGATATATATTTTTATTATGTCTGTTTGTAGCGGGGGGGGGGGGGGATGAACGGTTTCTCATCATATGAGGGAGGGGAGATCTACACGTTTATCAGAAATGATTGAAATTTAGTAATGGACATTTTTTCAATCTTACTTATATGATGTACTTTGCGGCAGTGCCGATAAACTTGATTATTATACATGTTTATATACGAACATGATAAAGGCCTAGATCATCGAGAAAATGCGGAAGGTATTCAACAAGGTCTTGTCTGGTGTATGAAAAGGACGAACACATACAAAGGAAAGTAATTAAAGTCAAGATCTTTATATGCATACCGTTTTGAATAAGTAAAATAAAGCCTAGCATAGTCTGTAGATGTTACATGTTCAAATTCGCGAGGTAAACAAACTCTACAAATACCAAAGAGTTACCTCCCGTGCCGGGTCACTAATGCGTTTGAAAACTATATTTAGAATGAATGTTTCAAGACTTCGATTTTAAACTAAAAAGTTCAAGGGCAAGGCGACATATGAAGAGGTAGGTTTTTGTATTAAATTGTTTATTTTACTGCATACTTTTTGAAAAGTGATGCTCATTTCTCTGTAATTCGCTAAGTAATTTATTATTTCACATGAAATGCGGAAAGTACCCTATTTTTTCAATACCGGTCTTTGTTTTTACTGAATAACTAAATAATACCAGAAATCTAACTGAATGAGCATTATTTTTGAGATAGGATAGATATCTGGGGACACATTGAAACCTTGTGCAGTGTAATTTTTCTTTGCCTTGCCCTTGAACTTTTCGGTTAAATTTGATATTTTATATCTTGAGCTAAAATAGGAGCCCACGTGACTACTAAAGGTCACATGATGACAAAAAATATCAATATTAAAAGCGAAGGACACACTCTTCAAGAAGACAGAAAGATATTTTCGGTAGAGTCGTATGCTAGAAAATAATACGGTTAAACTTCAAGTGTCTTGTTTTCAGTGTCTTTTTATAGAAAATGTTGCCTTAACTGTACTGAGAGACAGACAGACGGACAGACAGACAGCTAGACAGACGGACGACGGACAAAATGTGATCAGGAAAGCTCACTTGAGCCTTCAGCTCAGGTGAGCTAAAAAAGGATACACTAAATGTTAAACTACTTATGATTGTTTATCTGATAGATAAATCATTTCAAATACTATAATACGTTACTTTGAACTCCTTGTATAATTGTTGTTGATTCAATGGTGATGTGTCATTATGCAGTAAATTAAGTTTTGGTTCAAGATTCAATTCCGATATGACTGTCTCTCTTTCTTGGAATCCACAGAGTAATGCTTTGTGTAGGAACACATACTGTTCCTGAAATATGAATAAAACTGTTTATCTTTATACACTTTTCATCTTTATATGTATGATTTTGGTTAACGTGCTTAGAAAGTATGATTGATGCTTAGAAGCCTTGTAGGAAAAGAACGGTATATGAATAAGTTAAATATCGAGAATATTGTCTTAATAATTGGTAATCTTACAACAGTTTGAACCATAGTCATACGATCCTCTCTCATTTGCTTCACAAACTCAAATATGTTGATCCGCCCCGTTTGCCTTCCTTGTTTCAGTAAGGTATCGAGGCCTATAAAAGTACCCGTTCTACCAACTCCTGCACTGAAATTTGAAAAGACGTAAGTGTCTTGGTTATACGAAAATCATATAACACCTGAATAAATTATCCTGGTCACCAGGATTATACGATAACTTATCTTAATTATCCTAGTTATGTATCTACAATGGAAGGGTAATAGTTTTTATATAAATCATATTTGGGAACGACTTTTATATTTTAACATGTTGTGAATACTGCACTGCTTCTTTTATCTTTTCTCTCTATGGAGTACAAAACATTGAGAGTATATGTTGTAGAGAAATAATACCTTTTCATGTCTAAAAATCTTAAGAATTAAATGGATTTTCATCAGGAAACTTTACAATCTGCTTAACTTTCTAGAACTTTTGTTAAAAATATCATTTTGTTGCAAAGAATTCTAGCAATACAGGTGTGGCTGGCAAACCTGCAGTGAACAAGTAAGGGAGATTCAGACTTCCATTTTTTGGTAACAGTTCTATGAAACTGAACAAGTGCTATCTCTTCTGGGGTATCATGATCTGGCCAAGCTGTGTAGTGGAAATGGGTTATAATCCTTAGGTCATGTAGCTGTTGCCCAAAAAAGAGTTGTTAATATGATATTGTTATATACTTGATACATTAAAACTGACCATATGAAATTACTTACAGCAGTTAAATGTAATGAAAATTTTAATATTATCTTACATATATAGCCTAGGAATAAATACTGTAAAATCACATATTTTCGTGGGGTCAAATTTTCGTGGTTAAAAGAAAAACATAATTGGTTTGTGGTTAAAAGAAAAAAAAAATATTGGTTCATGGAGATTTGATTTCGTGGTTTAAGAATTGTTGTGTCACAAGATATTTAAAGTTTTACATTTCGTTGGGGACATGAATTCGTGGTTTCCTTTATATCACGAAAACTACGAAACTACCCCCCTTTCAAAAAAAAAAAAAAAAAAAAAAAAAAAAAAAAAAAAAATAGGGATTTTACAGTAGGGCAATACTTTTATTTATTTATTTATTGTATCTTTTTTTATTTTTTATAAATAAATTTGAAATTTTCTTTCCCAAAGGCAATTGCTGATTAGAAAATTTTACATAATCTCAATTGTAAAGGAAAACGTATAACAAAAAAGAGCTTACGTTTCTTCTTTGAAGTGAGAACATTCGAAATGTATAAAAAGCATATACTGTTTCCTCTAACAGACTTAGGGTACACTGTCCAATATTTTTGGACATATCATTATCCGGCCAGTACTTAGCGCATTTTTTCTGAAAATGGAATAAAAAATAACACATATTTCATTGCCCTTCCATTACATTTATGCAAACTCACATGCAGCAGCTAGCCAAAAAGAAAAAAAAATGACACAATTCTAAGTGTTACAGATTTATCTTACCTTTCCATCTTCAACCAGATTAGTCAACATAACAATGCATTGTATGTTTTCCTGCCATATCATTTTCAGGAAGTCTGTCAAAGTATTCTCCCGTGGACCTAAGTACAAAGCGTAATTTAGATATCACTTTTGTTCTAAATTTTAAAGTTTATTTTTAACTATATTAATTATGACAAAAGAAATTAACTATTACTTACATAATTTAACTAGATAAATCATTTTTTAGATGTACATTACACATATACATAAATCCATTATAACCAGAGGAAAAACAGAAGAGTTTGGTTTTTTTTTCTGCCTGTTTTGTACCTTGAGCGGCGATGTAACGTCTTTCGCCTTTAAAATCCTAAAACAATGAAACCGGGATGTAGTTTATAATACAAAGTAAATTTAAAATATATATTTTATTTTTTATGGACATAATAACAAAATCAAGCCACCTCCTCTTCCCTTCAGATATGTCTTAATGTGGAACAGACTTTCCAGTTAACGCAGATGTTCTTATTGGCGAAATAGAATGAGTTTTATCGAAAAAATACAGAAAATGAATCGCAAAAAATTATTCTGATTGGGCATCTAACAGAGCATTTTTTTAAACGCATGAAATGGTCAGTAAAACGAAAAATAGAAGGTATTAACCTTTGATTTATTCAAATAAAAAGTATAATGAAAGATACGAAATACGATGGTTTTATAGAATACCTTAATGTAATTTGCGTTGATGTAATCGTTGTCATCTACGTCCCATTTCTCTCCAAGTACAACCCTCGAATGTTCATCTATGCCGAGCAAAGCGAACAGATGACATGTCATAATTTTATTTTAAATAAATATATATGTAATCAATGTACTGTAACATATTGTTTTCCTAGAAAGTCATAATTTGAAAGATTCTAACAAAAACGGTTCTTTTAGTGAATTTACTCATATTTTGGTTACAATAATAGTACATCAAAAAGAATAATCCTTTTAGTGACACTTAATAAGTACAGTATAATCAAGTACACGTGGCTTAACTGGTATACATACAACGAAAGTATAGCTATTTTATTTTAAAATGACTAATTTCCACGCAAGAATCAATTAAAACTTCTTTCAGAGAGAGTTCATTCACTCGTATTGGTCGTTCATTGATCAGTCTGACATGCAGAAAGGGCTTCAGAGAGTGAAATGTTGGGTTGTGTAGATTACCCTTTTGGAATTGAGAGACGTAATGTAAATGTTAAATCTATAATCATTAATGTCTCTAATTTCGAATGCTATATTTAAGCCCAAAAACATGGAAATCAATCAATGTTTTATAATGATTGATTGTATGTTGTTTTACGTCCCATTCGAGAATTTTTCACTCATATAGAGACGTAACCATATTCCGGTGAAGGGCTTCAAATTTTGACCTTTACTAGGCACTCAGGGCTATTGAGCATTGAGGGATCTTTATTTTGCCAACGCCTGCCGTGACACGGGGCCTCGGTTTTTAAGGTCTCATCCGAAGGACCCGCAACTTTCACTTCAAAGTGCCGAGAGCATGGCGAAGGAACAGTTGCTACCCATTTTTTATCGACTCAGGTCAGTCGCGGCCGAGATTCGAACTCACGACCTAGCGAACACGGCGCGACAGCTCTACCGAATGAGCTACCATGAACGGTCAATGTTTTATAGTAGGTGTAACTCTCAAGTAGATATCTGTAAATCAGCACATTTTAGATTTAAAAGAATCATATGAAAAGACAAAAATCGAACTATAGCAATTCAAAATATCATTCTTAGAAGGGTCGCCCGCGTGGTGCAGTGGTTAGAGATTTTTGTGTAGAGTCGAGCCGTAAGGAGTTGATCCTTACGTTGCGGGTTCGAATCCCAGTGCGGGACTTGGAGACAGGTCCTTTTGGTTAGACGGTTGAAATCGAGACCCCCTGTATATGTAGCAGTGGATGCTGGCAGGAAAAGATCCTTTACTGCTCAAAGGCCCTTAGTGCTGAGTATAGGTCTAAATTTGCAGTCTTCCACCGGCGAGTGGTGGCATCTCAATATGAATAACAAGGGATTAAACAAACTTACTAACAAATATTCTTACAAGGAAATGTTGTTTTAAATCTGTTCTTAGTGATGTTTTCTTTCTTCTGAGCCGTTGGACATTTGCTTACATCTCCGGGAGGTAACCTCTGAATAAGAAGTATTTTACTTTAAGTAAAGTATAATGGACGACTAAACATGGCAAAACTAAGTGTGGATCAAGAAAGAGACGTTTTCATAGTTTGCGAATGTTTATTCATATCCGTGAGAGATGCTATGTCTCTGAGATTCTGAGATACATGTATGAGTACATATACAGAAATGGTACGAGCTTATAACCTTTGCCAGTTGTGTTCATTGAAGAATCTGTATATTTGCCAATTCTTTTAAAAAGTAAATTTCAATGCTATCATTGGCAGTTTTGCTTCATGAAGGAAAATTCCATGCGATATGTTTTTTTTAAATGCAAAATTTTAAAATGGTGTCGATCTTAGATACTTTTCTTACAAATTCGCTTTAATACCAGCCTCTAGAAAATCCCCTGTTGTGAAACCGTTATATTAAGATATGTATTCAATTAGGTACTAGAAAAACACAACATGTAAAAAATAAATTTCTGCTTTTTGTTTTCAAGTATGTCAAATAAAGGAAACAAAAAGGCTGATAATATAATTTATTTTTTTCATGTGCATTACATTTTTGTTGATTGGCACTGTAAAAGCGGTGATTTGTTTCTAATTTGTCGTCGCATTTTCATATCGCACAAATGCAAAATATAAAAGAAATATAAACACAAAAGTTCCAAAAGAAGAAGTTTTTTTTTCTCAAATTTAGCTTAAGATGAGATGGCACGTGCCTAAATATTACACAAATTTTCTCAACAGTTTGTGATTGAAGTATTGTAATTTTAAAAGTTAATGTTCATTGCCAGGCACTTGAGCAAGACGTAAAAAGATATTATCGTGTATATAAGGCTACTGGAAATCACTTGAATTGTTGTTTTCACAGAAATTGACTTATGTCATTTTCAATTATTTTGAAAACAGTTTAGAAATTTGAAGATTATAATAACCATAAATATTTTGGTATATTACAATGATATGCAAAACTATAAATTCAAGGAGCTAGTTCTCGGACCTGGATTTGGATGATTGATAAATTTTACAAAAGTTAGAAAGAAATATTGAGATGTTTATAAAAAGTTTTCAGTTAATCCGCTCTGATAGTACCTTGTATTCCATAATGAATGGGTGTTGCTTTTCGCTCCCTTTAAAAGCAATTATGTCTTGCAAATCCTGCGTCCGCATAACAGTGCTTATATGACCTAGATTATAGTATTCTGCGTTGGAAAAGGCACTCTGCAAACTTATATCAGGAGCTGCATGGAGAGGGATGCGTAAAAAATATATATATTTGAATGTGTCGTTAAATATGTTTGTTATAAGTGGTGTTTTATTCCATAAGAAATATTTACTCAAATATATATGAAAATTGTTTTTTTTTCTTTTTTTTGGCATTCGAATTTGATTTTTTTTAAGGTTTAAGGTATGTCACTCGTGAAATTATTTATATCAATTTATTTTAGAAATATATGTTAGATAAGTTTTCATATAGCACGATTCACAAAGAAAATGGGGGGTCAGTGTGTATCTTACTTAGCTACGGAACAATTAAGTTGACATTTTTGCATTTAAATTGTAACTCTTTGGTTATTAGCTTTAATCTTAATCATATTTTATCAGATGTAATTATGGCGAAAAATAGATTGTTTTACGTAAAATAGTTTGAATTATATTTATCATTGAATAAACCATGTGTATTAGTGTGTATAAATTATTGTGTGACACTTCTGCACTAAAAAGTATCATATTTGGGATATTGTAAAAATCGAAATAGGCAATAAAATATTTTCTTGTATCAATTTTTGTATGACGGAAGTGCTGGTCGGTTGGAAGTATCGTGTTGAAAGAAAAAGTTGGGATCCGTAATGCAAATTTTGAGATAATGATCACAATGTGCGATTTTTAGGCAAAAAAAAGGTGTAAATTTCATCTTGACTTCTTTAATATATCTTCATTTCTTGGCAAAGTATGTTGAGTGAATGTGTAAAATGTATTCTTAAAATATAAATTGAGACCTATATTTTACATTCCTAGCATATCATAACGGAAAATATTCATAAAGTAAAAATATGTTGGGCTAAAGTCCCAAGATATTAAATTTAACAAATGTTTAGATCTGAAGAATTTTCTTCCAAATATCCTTCCATCACAAGAAATAGTCACTCATAAATCTTGCTTTTTTATGAAATTGTGAGCAGTTTTTTAATTAAATGTTGAATCATTTGCATTGTTTTATTTAAAGATATTATAAAAATTGAATTGTAATAAATAGTTTTGAAATTAGCGGTTATGACTGAACGTTTCATAAAAGCTGACAAGTGACATACCTTAATTCATATAAACAACTGGAATGCGGATAAAGAGTACAATATATCGAAAATAATGTTTGTTTCATTTTGTCTAAATATCATATGTGTGTAGACAGGTCTTACCAACGATATTCGCATATTTCTTTCTTCTGGGGTTGATTTTTGGATCATACTCAACACACCTGAATACGTTTCCCGTGTTTTCTCGATCTTTTTCCGCATACTGTCGCCTGCATAATGAATGTATTTCCTGAATTTGCATTAAGGCTGACATGATTAACTTTTAATTGAAGATAGTATATTAGTAACTTAAAAGCGTTTAGATGGAAAGTTATGAAAGATTTTGTAATCGTCATGCTGAAAATGATGCAGTCAAAAATATAATATAAAAAAATACGATTAAAAAAATAATCCTGAACAAGATGTGTTTAAAAATATTAATGACCCAATCTTACAGCTCATGACCAAGTTAAAGTCCTTCGACAGTGAGTCAAACATCCAGGCCAAATGGTTAAAATGGGTTGATGCCAAAGGAAAGGTTTTGTCAGTTGGATTCACATGTTAAATATACAAGCCCTGGCACCAACCATTCCAACATTATGACGAAGTAAGTTTTATGAAGTTAGTCAAACTCCAAGGTCATGGGTTCAAAAAAAAAATGTCGGTACAAAATGTAAAGTTTTGTCACAAGGAATGCACATGTGGAATATAAAAGCCCTAGCTCCAACTATTCTGCTCTGACCGAGGTCAAACATTTTCCTAGTAGATCAAAACCAAAGGTCAAGTACATAAGGGCAAAATCTTGGTAACCAAAGAAAGTATTTTTTACAAGAAATATTCATGTCATATATGAATCCCTAACAACAACCATTCAAAAGTTATGTTGGAGCAAAATGATTTTTGCGGATAAACAGATAGAGGGACAGACCAAAATGAAATATGGAGATAACGCACAGTCATCAAGCTCAAAAAGTCCATTGAAACAATACAAATCTGGAGCAGAACAAACACGGACCTCCAAAACATCATATGTCAGATCAGGTACCAAGAAGGAGTAAGTATCCCGCGTTGTGCTCAGAGTCATGATGGAGCGAACAGAAAAAAATCCGTTTACAACTCAGTGATTAAGAGCCATTCTCTGTAATGACTTTAACTTTTATATAGGAACTGTGGCACGCATAGTCTCAGAATTTCTCCAAACTCTCTATGATAAAAGTCTTTGATACCGTAAACTCAAATCAGGCAAAAATTGGTTGCTACGTGTCATGGTTACCATAGCAACATGTCCTAAAGTTTGAAAAATGGCATTTTTCAACATGTTCAGAGTCCCACAGTTAACGTTTGCAGCAAAGCAAACAAGTGGCAATGACTGTTTCTGAAAGTTGAAGGCCTGATGTCTTAAATGCATGATAAACATGTTTGGTAAATCAACTATTACACACGTTACTATGGAAACAAAGTATTCAAAAGTAATAATTTTGTTCATTTAATTTTATAAAGTCATACACTTAAGAATAAAAACAATTATAGGTTGAAATGCAAGCAAATAATAGACAGGAGATCCTTGTAACGTATACCAAGGACGAAATATGATATTTCTTATAAGTTGGCAATGGTTGCCATGGTTTTAATACCACAAAGGGATTTTAAATTTACTCTCTTAGTATTTTAATCTTATTTTATCTTTTTACAAAGCATATTTTTATATAACTGATGATCAATTTTTAAAGGCGTTGGTGTGACCCTAATTTTCACATTTCAAAAAATTCAAATTTGGTTCTTTAGATAGAGCGTTGCTATGGAAATTAGCCGAAAAAATATGCATAAAAATCTGAAAATATTCTGTTTCCTTGGATACGTACCCTTGTATGTAGATTCCCAAAACTTTTATGATTGATATATATGAACAACTAACCTGACTTTCAATTTTGACTACCAACCAATATCTTACTGGATGCAAAAAACTGGCACATAGGATTTAATATTGAAATAAAATTAACGAAATCGAACATTTTCCCTTCTTGGTAACCATAACAACAGTGTTGTATTTTTCAACAAACTTTATCAATATATGATATTCAACTTTAGTTCTACCAGATAAGTACTATTCAAGGTGAGTCAAATCATATGTTCCTTGATTAAAAGGTTAGTAAATTCCTAAAGCAGTAAGAAAATATCACTTTAAACAACTGGTACGTTGTTTCCATGGTTACACTGCAAAGTAACAATTAATCCCAATTTTTCTTATGTTGTCGATGTTGCAAGGTCCTAAGGATGTATATGTGCCAGTCATGAATTATACTATTTTTCCTCAAGATAGTAGCATTAACCCAATCTTAGCAACGAATTTTGCATCGTTACACTGTGTTACCATGGCAACCACGAAAGATATTTTTAGAATAATATTGCCAATACCTTATTACTTAAGATCAAATATTTTTATCGATTTTCTTCAATTGTTGATTGAGTTTGATCATGTAACATCTATCATTAGTGAATATTGAGCTTTTTTCAGAATTTTTCAGCATCTAAAATGTATTCCAAATGTACCCATGGTTACCACTTACTTAGAGATAAATTCTAAATAGTTTCTTTACAGCATAAGTTGCAACAAGGTGTCATGTTTTTGTGAGAATAGTTTGTTTGTTTTTCTTAGTCTTTATTAAGGCTTAATAAAGATTCAAAGTAGCTGAAAATCTCAATTTTTTCAACTTTTCTGCCAGTTACCATGGCAACCAAGACACTTAGCAACGAAATTTTATTTGATATATGTTTCTGGTGTTAAGTTGTAATAATGGGCAAAGTTTCGTCAAAATTGATGACCATGCGTGGCAAAGAAGTTTTAAGTGGTTACAGAGAATCGCTATTAAAAAGTAGCCAAACAATTAGTATGAAAAACGTCAGTCAGCATTCTTCTTGATGATAAATTGTATTTGCTGATAAGGCCATTGTATCGACCATAGAACTTGCCAAATATTGACTTTAAACGAGACTGTTGACATCCTTGTTTCATCAACTTGTTTGTATGTCCCCGAATTTTAAATGGGAGGGAGCATTAAAATAAAGGACCCTTAGGAATGTTTCCCATCCAAGGCTCTCCTGAAAAGTTTCTCACATATTGTAATTATTTCATCACCACTACCACCAGACCGTTCACGGTAGCTCAGTCGGTAGAGCGCTCGCTCCGTGATCGGGAGGTCGTGAGTTCGAATCTCGGCCGCGACTGACCTAAGTCGATAAAAAATGGGAAGCAACTGTTCCTTCGCCATGCGCTCGGCACATTGAAGTGAAAGTTGCGGGTCCTTCGGATGAGACCTTAAAAACCGAGGCCCCGTGTCAAGGCAGGCGTTGGCACGATAAAGATCCCTCACTGCTCAATGCCCTGAGTGCCGAGGAAAGGTCAAAATTTGAACCCTTCACCGGTATATGGTGACATCTCTATATGAGTGAAAAATTCTCCAATGGGACGTAAAACAACATTCAATCAATCAAACCACTACCACCACCACTATAATAATAATAATAATAATAATAATGATAAAGTTAATGATTTTATCAGAGTATTAAGGAATCAGATGAAAAACGTGAAGGGAAAAAATGCGTAGCCTGTATTTTATATATATATATATATATCTCGAATTTTGTATATTCCGAAATTTTGCCTAATACGATGTTTACATTAAGTCCCTTTTGTGGATTCAATTGTCTTTAAATGTCTCATCCACAATGTTTGCTAATCTTGCCAATTTCTTTGAAACCAGTGTTGTCCCAATTAGACAAGGTTTACCGTATATTTCTCAAAACTATGGGTTTATTTCTAAGATTGTGAATAAAACAGTGCGCTTAGAATGCTGGCGTGATAAAGTGAAAGTTAACATACCAAGAAAGATTTACACACACCGAGGAATGTTACATTTCCCCTTAATTTTGTTTTTACATGTGTCAATTCCGATAAATAAATAATGATCATAATAATTGAAAGATACCTTAGAACTGCTATGACGATGATGACTACAAATGCTAAGAGGATAAATACAGTCATGAGTCCACCGACTATTGCACCTGTATTTGGTTCCGTGGATAGAAGAATGGCTTGAATGGTAGAAAATTAATAATTGTAAAGTCTATTAAATCATACATTACTTTTTTGTCCTGAAATAAGGGTTATATGAAAGATTATCATTATATAAAGGGTGACCTGCTAAGGTAGAATTTGGGTTACAAATTTAGAAATTATTTTTTATTGTGAAGTACTTGGAATGTGGCATTGAAAAGGAATTCACGTTAATATACATAGTTTTATAAATTTTACAAAAACAAAAAAAAAAAAAAACAAAAAAAAAACAAAAAAAACAAAAAAACAAAAAAGAGAAAAAAAAAAAAAAAACAAAAAAAAACAAAAAAAGAAAAAAAAAGAACCAGGAACCTAACTTCATAAAATGCATATTAATAAAATCATGAAGATGAAACGCCAATATACATACTATCACATTCGGCACCTGTCCATCTCTCCTTACACCCTTTTGAACAGGTTCCATTGTCTTGGTAACAATTATTTGCAATACAATTCGTACATTCACGATCGCAGTTCAGTCCGAAATATCCATCTTCACATGCTAGAATAAATACAGCATACACTGAACATTTTTTTAAACGCAGAAACCAAAAAAAAAAAAAAAAAAAAAAAAAAAAAAAAAAAGCAAATGTTCAAGCAAGTTTTCCTGAGTGAGGATAAGCAAAGAAAATTACGTTCATTGCAGGTAACTTATTTTTGACAGTACTGCACTAAAAATAGTAAATGCCAAAATACTTATGGCAATGTCCATTATGGCAATACTTATGGCAATTTTTCCCACATACACTATAAAGGATTAATTTTACTAAGAGTTATTTCCCGTTCGTTCCTATATTTGGTCACCATGCTCATATTCTTTCATTTTTAACTATATTTACAATCCTGGAATTTGAGGTGGAGAAAATCACATTTTTAAAGGCCTTTTTAAATTCAAAATGAATTCCCATTTTTCCCACAAACATTGTTGTGGTAGTAAATCATTGATTTTGACAGATATGATTTTAGCGAGAGGTATTTACCCTTGGTTGTCATTTTGAGATCAACATCCTCATAGCCCTTTAAATCTTAAATGCTCATTAAATCAAAGCCGTATAAGTAAGGAGATAACAATTTCTTCAGCGCCATGTTATATCCCCCAAAATAACACACACAGTCTAACAAGTTTTCTCAAACTACGTTCATTCCAAGTTCACGATCTAGTTTCCCCAAAAAATGTAGTCTGATCTTCTTCTTTATGGGAATGAATTTTAATACTTTTAAAATATCAATGTATACATGGTAAAATAATTTTAAAATAAGCAAATAATTGCCCAAAAATATCGGAGTACGGCCGACCGGGGGCATTTGTTGATTTTCAAAATACAACATAGTTCTTCTAAGTTAGAGAGTATATTTAGAAAAAAATAAATTCTTTCTTAGAGAATCAAAAGCAAAAATTTATCTGACATATTTTATAAACTGAGAGAAAAAATTAAGGAGGTTTGATTTGTGCTTCTAAGCAGAGCTTTGTCTGAACCTACATTTCTAGAATTCTGCATCATATTTTAATTTTTACAATAAATATGAATTCCAATCCTACTTAAACTAAATCTAAATCGACTCCCGAATAAATTCCACACAAAAAGCATTAAGGTAGAGACTATATTTTGTGGCGGAAGTTTCTTTCTTTCTTTTCTTTTTTTTTTTTGAAAGAAAAATGATCAATTTTTTCTCATGTAAAGTATTAACAGTGCTGTTAAGTTTGGACGCCTTTTTTACCATGCAGGCTTCACACAGTTTTTTTTTCTTTGCAGTGAGATATTATTTGCCAGTCTGGAATTATATACATGAACTGATCTAAGCTATGTGATCTATATTATCTTATTGTGACAAATATAGCAAACATATAATGAAAGTCCAGAAAAATAACCGGAGATTTAAATTATTGCAAATATATCCCCCAAAAGGTGGGAAGTATATAAGTTTGTTAATCTCTAAGTCATACATGAAAGGTGAAGATTACAAAACAGCTTTAAATTAGTACTTTTTAGTAATACATAAATATTTAAATCATAGAGACTCATTTTTAATTTTCTTACCAAAATATAACAGATAATCTTGACAACAGTGATTTTATTAATGAAAATATGAAGACTTTTGAATAATTAATTTTTTTATGTTAAATTATTTAATGCAAGGAAAAATGACATTCTGTGAGTGCAGAACGGTCAAATAATTAATCATGCGATATTCCTTTGATGTTTTTCTTTGTCATAACGTCTAATTTGTCTATTGAAGCTAGAATAAGATTTTATTTTGTCTAATGATTAATGTGCTTTAAAAAAGGGAAGTCTTAAGTGATTTATATGTAAAAGAATAATATAAGACGATATTATAGATGCAGAAAAGGGTATATTAAGTGAACGTAGAGCCTAAACAAGCATATTGACCTCCATATTTGTGTTGATTTTCAATTTAACTATGTGTGTAGATACTGAATATACACTTGTCAAAAATTCTTTAGACTGATAGCAGGATCCAAACTCCTCAAATCTGATATATGAAATCCAGTTATGCGTAAATCACGAGAGTTGCTTATCCCTTAAGTATATTCATCACTGTTTCAACTAATACACTGGTCATTTACAAATAAAAATATTCATGTTATCAAGATTATTTTCCTTTATGTTCCTGTTGCAGTGTTTAACTTTTGTCAATTAAGGATAAAAATATTCACCAGGATAACCTTCAAGATCACAGACATGGGAAGGAGAGAAAAAAAAAACTGATAGGAAAACTATTTATGCAAAAGGCTACCCTATTCATTTTACCGTCGCACTTGGATCCATTCCAGTGAGCCTGACATTCAGCAGGACAAGTTCCGTTCTCCTTATTACAGTATGTTCCATTTCCACAGTTCCCACACATGCCCTCGCATATTAATCCATAATATCCGTTTTTACATTCTTTGTAAGAAAAATAAAGTCAGATTAATTTCTCGTCAAATATGGCCATTTCTTAAATTTTTCTTTATTTGGTAGATTTATTGTGTTATCATTACCCATTATTTGTAATAAACCAAATAAAAATATATATTAGTGATATTTTGATATTGTGTATATTTATTATACACAGGTTAACATTATGCTTAACCCAAGTCACTATACTTTCTTTGCAATCGATTTCTGAAGGTAAAAAAAAATCATCGTTAAAGAGTAATGATTAATTCAGAAAACTTTCGAATAAAGTTGTTGGTAATATGAAATAAGCTATTAACATTAGAAGTAATTTCTTGAATATTTTGAATTCGAAATAGAAACCCGAAGATCACAGTTTTAAATACGGTGAAAATATAGAAATCTATACAGATACATTTAATTTTAAATTGCATGTGTATGTCGTGACATCTTTGTCATTCACCCTGGTAGATAAAACAGGATTATGACATAACTTGTAAAATTCATTGATGCATTTCCTCTCTTAATTCATTTTAGCAAAACAGCTGAAAACAAACCTTACCATTACACATTTGTCCATCCCAATGATCCTCACAACCATCTGGACATATTCCGGAGGACATATTACAGTATGTCCCATTTCTACAATTTCCACAGGAGTATTCACATGTCTGCCCAAAAAATCCTGCTTCACAATCTATGCAAAGGGAGAAAAAATTAGCTGGAAATTAAGATATATGTAGAAAGGTCTTTTTGGTTGTTTATGGGATTATTGTAACCTGTTAATAACTCAATGGTACATATGTACATTCTTGTATAACAGAAGAAAGACTCTGCTACAGGTGCCAGTTTCGATAGCTGCAATTATATTAATTGAAGCTTGAGCAATATAAAATTAATGTGCATTTGTAAAATCTTAACTATTCTGGCATATTCTAACAGAAACACTTATTTTTCAATAAAACATGCTATACACAGGTTGACCTTCGAGATCACTGCCGTGGGAAGAAGAGATCAAAAATATTTAGCTTTTTATCGTTACACATGATTTGCAATAAACCAAATAAAAATATAATTATGTTAGTGATATTTTAACCCTAAACACGGGTTAATCTAATCATTAATATTAATATTATGGTGAACCTAAATCACCAAATTTTCTTTGCAATCGATTTCTGAGAAAAAATGTTAATAGTTAAAGAGTTCTAGTAAATTAAGGAAATTTTAGAATAAGGTTGTTTTTAATATGAAATGTGAAAGCAACTGTCTATGATGTCAAAATGCCTGGACTTCAATTTATTATGGGGAATGGTTGTCTAAAGTGTTGAAAAGTCGTACGTTTTCATATTACTGATTTTATAATATTTTGTGATTTCAAATTTTCTAAAATTTTCTTGCTGTGTTCAAATATCCACATATGTATTATACAACTGCTGGAATATACTATTGTACAGAACTCCCGAAGTTTCTCTTTCACTGCTTTAAATATTTTAGTGAGGCGTAAAGAAAGAGCCTTGGTTGAACATTTACTGGAAGCAGCTATGTATGTTTGTTTGAAAAGATTTGTATAATGTTAAATGGATTATTTGCATGCACGATAATGCAGAGATGTAACATTTCTTTCAAAATGCAATTCTTATTTACCTCGCAAACATTGTTTTGAAAAAGAAGAAAAACAATTACAAATGACAAACCTTTGCACATCACTCCAACCCAATGATTCTCACATCCATTTGGACATATTCCTGTGGATGTATTACAGTATGTTCCAGTTCTGCAGCTTCCACAGGGTTTTTCACATGTTTGCCCATAAAACCCAACCTCACATGCTTATATTTAAGAAAAACAAATAACGCTGATAAAATGTTCATTTTTATGATATTTGGATAGTTTTTTTTCTCGAATATTGTTCCTATTTCAATGATTGCGTGTATTTTAGACAATACATATAGCTTTACCAACCCAGTTTTAATTGGTAATATAATTAAGATAGACGGTATGTTAAAAATAAAAAATATGGCATCTTACAGAAAAAAATATCTACTTTTTTCGAACCCCCCCCCCCATATTTTAAATGAAAGGTACTGAATTATTCCAGAAGAAATATTCAAAATTTACGATAGGTTGAACTAATTCTAAGAAATTTTTAAACACAAATAGAAATTGATAAAACCAATGATTTTACTGTCACAGAGAGGAGCAGCCCAAATATCCTGACATCCCTCTGGACATATCCCCGTTATGGTATCACAGAATGTTCCAGTGCTACATTTGCCGCAGTTTAATTCACATCTGTGTCCATAATAGCCTTCTTTGCAAACTGAAAAATAAGAATAATGAGTTCAAATACTAACTGACATTTTTTATACTTACAGTTAGACGATTTATTATTTTTATTATTCATTATGTTATTTACGCATTGCGTTGTCTGTATTTCCGTTTTCCGAGCCATGACAAGGAGGAAATGGCGGGTTGGTCTGCTCGGTAGGGGATGCTTACTCCTCAATGGCACATTATCCAACCTCTGATATTTTAAAAGTCCGTGTTTGTTCTGCTCCGAATTTGTATTGTTTCAATGGACTTTTGAGCTTGATTACTGTTTGTTATCTCCTTATATCACTATGTAAAACCTCTCTGGGGCATGAACAGTGCTACTAGAATCATACTCTTCTGTCACATAAACAATTTTTCCACATTTTCGCATAAAACCTTACCATCATTTTTACATTTTCGCAGGTAGGTTTAGGCTTCCCGTAGAATATCACAGTGCAAACTGTGCCTTCACATCTCTGAACTACCAAAATATGACGTCATGATGGAAAATGACGTCAAGTCACTGCAAACTTGAGGTGTTATGACGGGGAGAGTGTCATGGATTTTACACTTCATTTCAAACTGCATGTAAAATGCTAGATAGCTTTTGCAAAATGCACTGTTTGTTAAAGGTTTTTTAAGTCTTATATGTCCGAATATTTTAAAAATACACCGCTTACTTACCCTTGATTGAAATTCAACATGTTCAAAATGCTTATGAAAAATATACTTTTGAAATGTACTCTGTTTTATACCCGTAGTTAGAGGTAGAATTTATTCTGTGTGTATAAAAGAGTCTAACGCAGGTGATTAATGAGGATTAATCTGAGAATTTTTGTGGAAATCTGTAAGAAGAGGTTGTTCTCTAACTGAATCTTGCTTGGGAAAAATGTGTGTTGGATTTGTTTTAATACAGATTATGATATTGTGTGGAAAATACCCTCAGATTTGTAGGTAAGTTGAATTTCTCAGGAAATATTTTGTACCCAAGTAATTCCATGACTTTTCCCAAGCACATTTCGGATACACAAGGATACGATGAGTTTATTTATATAACAAAATGTTAATAATTATCGTGTTAATCAGCTGCGCCGAAGCGATTTATATGAAACACTTCAAAAAATTATAAATGACCGTCACGTGATCAACAAAGTCATGCGATATCATAACAAATATGTTAATATATAGCCGGGGAAACCCTTTATATAAATTGGAAGTACTAAAGTTCAATACTTATAAATTAAAACCAAAACCGACCTCGCAATGACATATATGTTTTGAGCGCATTTTAAAGCTTCGGGAAGCCTTAACATAGCTGCGTTGTACATGCAATCGACGAATTTTCATCGAGTCATATTAACCACACGATTGTAGCAACATTTCTCAAGTACTGTAGAATACAAGCTTTCGATATAAACAAGAATTGTGTTTCAAAGTATGTTTCAAAGTATGCGATTTAGTGTTGAACGTTTGCATCTTTGTTGTTAAAAACGACAGAGGAAAGGCTGATCGAGATTTCAAATCGTTGTCTGTTTTCAATCTGATAGAAAAAAATAATCAAAAGAAATCGACGTACCTGATTCTTTATTTTTAATTTCTTGTTAATCATTCACAATATACTTCTTAACTCCCATATGCATTTGTTTATATGAATTCCATTAAACAATACAAATTTTGGAGCATAGCAAACACGGACCTTTAAAACATCAGAGGTGGGATCAGGTGTCATGGAGAAGTGAGCATCCCCTGCCGACCGGTCACACCCGTCGTGTGCTCCTGGTCATGATCAGGAAATAATGGAAAAATCTGACAACAATTCATTTATTTCTAGCATCAAAAATATATCTTTAGATATAGATTTTAAGAAATCCTCCCAGCAGAACACCACAAAACCCAGCAAAGCAAAACAGCTGGAAACTCCTTACCATTACACATTAGTCCATCCCAATGATCGTCACAACTGTCTGGACATACTCCGGAGGAAGTATTACAGTATGTCCCATTTCTACAGTTTCCACAGAAGTTTTCACATGTCGGCCCATAAAATCCTTCTTCACAATCTACGTAAAAAGTAAAAAAAAAAATAAGTTGAAAACAACATATGTAAAAAGTTCTTTTATTGTCATTTAGTGGATAACTGTAACCTGTTGATTATTTTATAGGTTCATTCCTGTATTACAGAAGTAACACACGGCTACAGGTGCCAGTTTCAATAACTGCAATTATATAATGAAAACTTGAGCAATATAAAAATACATGTATACAATGTATGTGTCTTTGTAAAATCTATTATATTGTGAATGACAGAAACATTTATTTTTCAATAAAACACTTAGGTTGAACATCAATTTCTCAAGATCATATCAATTAACAAATTTGAAGACCCTTTTTAATCAATGATTACAAAGGGTTAAATCAGTCAGTTACCAACACCTAAGGAACCATTACAACGACTCTGGCACGATTCGGGACATATCCCTTTATATTATCGCAATCGTTTCCGATGCTTCATTTGCCGTACTTGAATTCACAGGCTGCGCTATGAAATCAAGCTGGGCACGCTGACATGGAAAAGTATCGTATTCATTTAGTCCTCTTTTGTAGGATAGATAAAATCCACCCAATATAGTATATTTAGAGGCGTGGCTCTTACCAGATTGTAAATGTATTCCCATTCATATCATTATCTATCCCGCATCCTTATTAATTGATATGTATATGTTTCTAAAACTGCATTTTTTTCATTTCCAAAAGAAGGTGTAAAGACGAAGAATGACTACCGTTGAAAAATGATCCACCAGTCGTAGAAAAATGTATTTTTATGTAGGAAAAGAACACCTAGCTATCAGTTTTCTACTTATAAGACATTACCCTGCCTTAAAAAATTATTCCAATCCCAAGAGAGGAATAAAAAGTTTAAACATGAGTTGATTTGTTCCAAGTTTTTGGCTCAACGTTTAATTCTCGTGCGGTTTTTTTTTTGTCGAACAGTGGACGAAAACTCTGTCAAAATATAATATGGCTGCATTACATGTGCTTTTATCTATAACACCTACTATTTCGTAGCACACGATTAAACTCGCACAAAGGATACGTCAGGGTGGCCATTGGGTAAAAGTATTATCTTCATCTTTCTTTATCACTTGTTCGTTATTTTGATATTGTACCGATTTCAGACGTTATAGCCAATTCTACCACGGTTATTTCCGAGATCAAAGAAATGCAGCTGACATTAATTTCCAATAAATCACTAACGTCATCAAAAAATTATCAGGCCAGAAAACATACCAAACCTGAACAGTTAAAATGACTATTTCACTGTAGAATCTAATACTTATTTAGATCATATCAATGTTTCGTCTTCTGCAGTCTAAGGAGTGTGTATTCTCGGTTTTCATAGCTAAGTTGGGTTGTTCCACGCACCTCCCCACAACATTTATCACATCCGTGATTTTACTGATATAGCAATGAAATAGACAACTGATTTTGTTATTTTATATTCATTGAAATTAATCAATTTATGCTACAAGCAAATTTATAGATACTTAAAGGATATTTTTAACCCAACAAAAGCTCAAATCGTCTGCATTCTCTGCAATCGATACAAAAGTAAAGAAAAAAAATGACCCTCTGGTGTTAAATGGAACAGCGTAATCGCGACAGGGTGACCTAATTCGTTTCTCTATAGAGAAAACGATCAGCAGTATTTTAGAGCTCTTAGTAGAATAAAAAATAAAGTCCCTGTTGTCGTGAATGATGCAGGATAACTTCCTCTGTCTCGAAATGTTGTTTGAAACATAAAGGTCCCAACATTTCTCGACCTCGTAGGTTATCCTGCAACATTCAAGAAAAAGCGGACTTTATTTCTTAATTAACTCTTAAAGTAAATGGAAAAAAGAGATGACTTCTTAGCCGGCTTTTCCATCGCCATCAAAAAATTCTGGGTCAATATAATGACCCTCTTAGCATATGCATATTTTTTTTCATTTTTTTTATATTCTTAGGTTATACATTTTGCAACTTAAGAATTTTGATACGTTTAGTTAATTTTTGGAAAACCATGAAGACCTCTACATTTATAAATACAGAATATAATCGGAATTGTTTGAACGAATTGGATATTTGCTTGTACAACTTAGCGAATTACATATTTGTTCAAACAGATCTGATGTTCAAAGAATACTTTGAACATATTTTATCATTTCTCTGATGAATGAGAGTATCTGGAAATTCCTCTTTAAAACAATGATACATATGTCGAATCAATATGGAAACATTTCCATATAATGCAGAATTACATCATTTAATATCTCATCTTCCCCCCCCCCCCCAAAAAAAAAAAAGATTTCATTCGCAAAATTTAATGAACCAACACATTATAGCTCTTAGTACGACTTGTATTATCTTAAATTACTTCTTTGCATGCACGGTAATGCAGGCATGTCGGATTTCTTTCAAAATGCAATTCTTCATTACCTCTCAAACATTGTGTTGAAAAAAGAAAAGAAAAGTTACAAATGACAAACCTTTGCATATCTCTCCAACCCAATGGTTCTCACAACCATTTGGACAAACTCCGGTGGATGAATTACAGTATGTTCCATTTCTGCAGTTTCCACAGGGTTTTTCACACGAGTGCCCATAAAACCCAACTTTACATGCTTATATTTAAGGAAAATAAATAGTTAATACTGCCAAAAGGTAGACCATTTTTGTGATATTTGGATAGTTCTTCATAACTCAGTGAATGCATACTTGTATTTCAGCTAATAAAAACAACTTTACCAACCCAGTTTTAATTGGTAGAATGATTATGATATACTGTATGTTAAAAATAAAATAGCATGCATCTTAAAGAAAAAAAAAACATCTATGTTTAACGAAAAAAAAAATCCTATTTGAAATGAAAGGTACTGAATTATTCCAGAATAAATATTTGAAATTTAAGATAGGTTAAACTAATTGGAAGGAATTTTTTGAACATAATTAGAAACTGATAAAACCATTGACTTTACTGTTACAGAGAGGACTAGCATAGTAATCCTGACATCCATCTGGACATATCCCCGTTATGGTATCACAGAAGGTTCCAATGCTACATTTGCCACAGTTTAATTCACAGCTTTGTCCATAATATCCTTTTTTGCAAACTGAAATGAAGAACAATGAGATTAAAATGGTGACTGACGTTTTTCATACTTGTTGTAAGGCTATTTATTAAGGTTTTTCCGATTTCCTTCGGAAGACCTTATTGTTTTTCTTCTGTTTTCTATTACCATTATTCCACTTTTCATAGTGGGAACAGGTATCTCAGCTGTGAGTTCTTCAATTTGAAAGATTCTTTCAGGGAAAACGTATCATGAGAATATCTCTGAGATGTCCCTCACTTTTTCGAAAATCACATCCGTTTGCGATTTTCGGGGAAATTGTATTTTTTAAATGGAATTTTATCCGATAAATTTCTCGAGAACGGCTAAAGATATGAAAGTAAAACCCACAAACTTGATAGAACATCACATGTCAATGTGCCAATCGAACTTTATTTTTCGTCGATCGCACTTCCGGTTGCAAATAGAAGTGAATTCAAAAATTTTAAATTTACAACTTTTTTGTTTTTCAATATACAAGACTTAATATATAATTTGTTTCAAAAATGAACAATCCATCTCCTAGATATTGGTCATTTTCAGTTTGATGCGATGGTCCTCCCTAGTGCAATGGTTAGCGTGTTGGATTTTGAGGCGGGCGACCCCGGTAAATATGCAGAATGTACAATTTTTTCTAAAAAAATACGTTCTTCAGTTTGAATATAACATTTCATCTTTAAATCGATGTCTGTTATTTTTACTGTCCGAATATTGTGATATTTGGTCAATATTAACATTTTATCATATTTGATGTAAGAATACAGCTGCAGTTACCGGGAATACACAAGGTAAAACTGTTAAGGTAGGAGCTGGGAATCAACTTCTCTGATGACATGGTATACCCGTTTCTAACTGGAGGCCTATTTTCTAGTTTCCTCTGTCTTTTTTAACTGAAAATGACATTTCCGGTAAGTACTTTACACTGACTTTTTAAAGGTTATATTGAAAAAAAATTGTGATAATCATGCTCTAGTTTAAAAAAAAAATATGTGGTACTTGAATACACATAAGAAATGTTGACATTCAGGTATGTCTCTGATGAGGTATTGCAGCATATTTCTTCAGCAAAGAGTCGGTAGGAAGACAACTTGTTGTCTTAGCAACATGCACGGGTCTAGTTATTTTTATTATTTGTTAGGTTATTTACACACTAAAATGTCCACAAAATTTTCCGCGGATGGGACCGGTCGACAGGAGATGCTAACTCCTCCATAGCACATTATCACACTTTTGATATTTTTAGACGTCCGTGTTTGCTCTGCTCCAGATTGGCATTTTAAACAAAGGACTTTTGAGCTTGAGCTTGATTTCTGTTCGTTATCTCCTTATATCACTATGTAAAACATCTCTGGGGCATGAAAAACGCGGCTAGAATCCTACTTCATAAGTACTATAGAATACAAGCTTTCGATATAAACGAGAATTATGTTCCAGAGTGTGCGGCTTAGTGTTGAACTTTTACATCTTTGTTGTTAAAAAGGACAGAGGAAAGGCTAGTCGAGATTTCAAATCGTTTTCTGTCTTCAATATAAGAAAAAAATAATAAAAAGAAATCAGCGTGCCTGATTCTTTAATTCTTTAATTCCTTGTGAATCATTCACAATATTTACGGTATATTCTTCTTAACTCCCATTTTATACAATTGTTTACATAAATTCTATAAGTTTCCCTTTCAATCGGGCAATATTTGATTAACAGGTATGGCGTCATGTGTTAGGCATTTAACCCCTGTGACAAATACTTCAGCATTGATACCATCCAAAAATGACAACATTCGGTTCATATTATATTTTGTATGTTTAATTTATTTCTAGTATCTGAAATAAATCTTTAAAAATAGATTTTAAGAAATCGTTATCTCTTAAATTCACGTCATTTAGCTTACTATGACGTCATACTGTATATATGTGGAGTATCTAGGTGTAGAATCACTGAAGAGACATAATTTGTTGAAATGCACATCAGGTGCAACAAAATAAGAACTGTATAAGATTTACTTTGTAACCTTAACAAACCCTCAATACAGATAAAAACCAGTCTACCATTACACATTTGTCCATCCCAATGATCCTCACAACTGTCTGGACATACTCCGGAGGAAGTATTACAGTATGTCCCATTTCTACAGTGTCCACAGAAGTTTTCACATGTCTGCCCATAAAATCCTTCTTCACAATCTACGTAAAAAGTGAAAATTATATTGGGAACAAACATTTATAAAAGTTCTTTTATTGAGATTTAGGGGATTATTGTAGCCTGTTAATGATTTAATAGGTACATTCTTGTATTATATAAGCAACACGCTGCTACAGATCCCAGTTTCGATAACTGCAATTATTTAATGAAAGCTTGAGCAATATCAAAATGTATGTCTATGTGTTTTTGTAAAATCTTTACTATTTGGGGAATGACAGAAACACTTATTTTTAGGTTTAACATCGAAGAACATATACATTAACAGATTTGTAAGAGCTTTTTAAATGATTGATTACAACGGGTTAAATCAGTCAGTTACTAACATCCAAGGAACCATTTCAATGACCCTGACACGATTCGGGACATGTCCGTGTTATATTATCGCAACGTTTCCGTTGCTTCATTTGCCGCAGTTAAATTCACAGGCTGCTCTATGAAATCGATCCGCACACGCTGACACGAAAAAGTATCGCATTCATTCACTCTACTATTGTGGGATAGATAAAATCCACCCAATATAGTATATTTTGAGGCGTGGCTCTTACAAGATTGTAAATGTATTCCCATTCATATCATTATCTATCCCGCATCCTTATTAATTGATATGTATATGTTTCTAAAACTGCATTTTTTTCATTTCCAAAAGAAAGTGTAAAGACGAAGAATGACTACCGTTGAAAAATGATCCACCAGTTGTAGAAAAATGTATTTTTATGTAGGAAAAGAACACCTAGCTATCAGTTTTCTACTTATAAGACATTACCCTGCCTTAAAAATGACTCCTATCCCAAGAGAGGAATACAAAGTTTAAAAAAAAGAGCTGATTGATTCCAAGTTTTTGGCTCAACGTTTAATTCTCGTGCGTTTTTCTGTCGAACAGTGGACGTAAACGCAGTTGAAATGTAATATTACAACATTGCATGTTTTTCTTTTTCTATCTATTACGACACCTATTATTTCTTAGCACGGAATTAAAATCGCACAAAGAATATGTCACAGTGGCCATTGGTTAAAGTACAAACTTCATGTTTCCATTTCGTTTGATTCTTATTTGGATATTGTACCGATTTCAGACGTTTATAGCAAATTAACTCTTAAAGTATATGAAAAACGGGATGGATTCTGAACCAACTTTTCAATCGCCATCGAAATTTCTGGGTCAATATAATGACCCTCTTAGCAAATGCATATTTTTTTTCTTCAAATTTTTATCTTATAGGGTTACACATTTTGAAACTTAAGAATCTTGATAAGTTTAGGTAATTTTCGAAAAACTATAAAGGCCTTTACATTTATAAATACAGAATATAATCGGAATTGTTTGAACGAATTGGATATTTGCATTTACAGCTTAGCGAATTACATATTTGATGTTTCTAAGAATTCTGTGTACACATTTTATCATTCCTCTGATAAAAGAGAGTATCTAGAAAATCAAAGAGGGTATAAATGCATTCAAACGCAAATTGATTAACAGGTAAATAAACAATCTCTCTCTCTCTCTCTCTCCCTCTCGAATGATTCTTCATAATTTAAAGAGATCTTCTTTAAAACAATGACACATTTGTCAAATCAATATGACCGTTCACGATAGCTCAGTCGGTAGAGCACTCGCTCCGTGATCGGGAGGTCGTGAGTTCGAATCTCTGCCGCGACCGACCTAGGTTTATAAAAAATGGGTAGCAACTGTTCTTTTGCCATGCGCTCGACACTTTAAAGTGAAAGTGGCGGATCCTTTGGATGAGACCTCAAAAACCGAGGCCCCTTGTCACGGCAGACTTTGGCACGATAAAGACACCTCACTGCTCAATGGCCCTGAGTGCCGAGGAAAGGTCAAAATTTGAAGCCCTTCACCGGTACATGGTGACGTTTCTATATGAGTGAACAATTCTCGAATGGGACGTAAAACAACATACAATCAATCAGTCAATGAAATCAATATGGAAACATTTCCACATAATGCAGATTGACATCGATTAATGCAGTTTATTACTCATAAAAACAGATCAATTCATTCGAAAATTTTAATTAGACCAAGATATCATAGCTGTTAATTGCATTTGCAAAATCTTAAATGGCTTCTTTGCATGCATGGTAATGCAGACATGTCGGATTTCATTTAAAACGCAAATTTTCTTCACCTCTCAAACATTGTTTTGAAAAAGAAGAAAAACAATTACAAATGACAAAACTTTGCACATCACTCCAACCCAATGATTCTCACAGCCATTTGGACATACTCCTGTGGATGTATTACAGTATGTTCCCGTTCTGCAGTTTCCACAGGGTTTTTCACATGTTTGCCCATATAACCCAACCTCACATGCTTATATTTAAGAAAACTACTTAGTTAATAGTGACAAAAAGAAGATCATTTTGTGATATTTGGATAGTTTTTTTCTTGAAAATTGTTCATTATTCAGTGAATGTGTACTTGTATTTCAGACATAATAGGAAAAGCTTTACCAACCCAGTTTCCCTTGGTAGAATGATTAAGAAATAGTATAGATTAAAAATAAAATAACTTCAATTTACAGAAAAAAAAATACGTTTTACAAAAAAAAAAATCATTTGCAATAAAAGGTACTGAATTAATCCAGAATAAACATTCAAAATTTACGATAGGTTTAACTAATTCGAAGAAAATTTTTGAACACAATTAGAAATTGATAAAACCAATGATTTTACTGTCACAGAGAGGAGCAGCCCAATGATCCTGACATCCCTCTAGACATATCCCGGTTATGGTATCACAGAATGTTCCAATGCTACATTTGCCGCAGTTAAATTCACAGCTGACAGCTGACTGACTTTTTTCCATACTTACTGTTAGGCTTTTTATTATTTTTATTATTAATTGTTATTTACACATTGCATTGTCTATATTTCCGTTTTTCGAGTCATGAGAAGGAGAAAACGGCGGGTTGGATCGGTCGACAGGGAATGTTTATTCCTCCAGGGTACGTGATCCAACCTCTGATATTTTAAGAAGTCCTTGTATGCCCTGCCTCCTATTTGTACTGTTTCAATGGACTTTTGAGCTTGATTACTGTTCGTCATCTTCTTATATCACTATGTAAAAAATCTCAGGGGCATGAACAGTGCTGCTAGAATCATACTCTTCTGTCACAAAAATAATTTTTCCACATTTTCCCCCATAAAACCTTACCAATATTTTTACATTTTGTACATGCGATCGGCGAATTTTCATCGAGTCATGTTAACCACACGATTGTAGCAACACTTCTCAAGAACTGTAGAATACAAACTTATGATATATACAAGAATTATGTTTCAAAGTATTTTTCAAAGTATACGATTCAGTGTTGAACTTCTGCATCTTTGTTGCTAAAAACGACAGAGGAAAGGCTGATCGAGATTTCAAATCGTTGTTTGTCTTCAATATGAGAAAAAAAAATGATCAAAAGAAATCAGCGTGCTTGATTCTTAATTTTTAATTCCTTGTTAATCATATACTATATTCACGGTATATACTTCTTTACTCCCATTTTATGCATTTATTTACATGAGTTCCGTTAAACAATATAAATTTTGAGGCAGAGAAAACACGGACCTCTAAAACATCAGAGGTGAGAACCAGGTGCCATGGAGGAGTGAGCATCCCCTGCCGACCGGTCACACCCGTCACGTGTTCCTTGTCATGATTGGAAAATAATGGAAAAACCCGACAACAATTCATTTAAGGTGGAACCTATGTCGGAAAAGTCTATGTCACAAAATGATAAATTAGCACTCGCTTATCAATCAGTTAAAAATATATGGTGTGTTTCTTTGTTATTAAATGTTGTGCAGTCTGTGCAACTTGGAATGATAATTTTGCACTGCAACTACATACTTCAGCCATTTTTTGGGGTACTGGTCATAAAGAGAATATAATAATCACTAAAATACCTCTTCAAATATCATTGTTTATATACTTTATTAACTGAACCGTATGAAGCAATATTATTCAAGAATAAATTCTTTTTTATTTAATTGACATTAAAGATAAAGTCCACATTTCAACGAATATAGGCAAATGTGCTCAATATTTTTGGAGTCAATTTACAACCTAAATTTGTAAATATTTTTCAAAAGTCTTTGTCAGAATGTTTTCAATCTTTGATATGATGAAGAACGTATCCAAATAATTACAAAAAGTGATTAAAATATATACCTTTCCCCGCAAACGAATGAGAACACTCTATTTATCCATACTTTTTTTTGTTGACCTTTTTACACTTACATAGGATTTAATTATTAAACGACTGTTTTGGGGTTACGTTCAGATTTACAATGTGAATATTCATCAAAAAATGTATTTTTTTTTTTTAAAAGATGATATTCTAGGGAAACTATTATTGTACACCAACCATTATGAATAATTAACAAATAATTATGGAAGGGAATGCACGTCATTTCATGATAGACATTACATAATTTACACACAATTAAAAACAGATCTTTGACTCGGACACATTTCATCAAGATATTTAGATTTCTTAGGATTTTTGATTTCCTTCAAAATAGTTGTATGTCATTCACATTATCACATCTGTGTAACTTCATTACATGATACAGTCTTGAGGAAAGTACGGGAAAAAGTAACATTAAATTTATTATGACGTTATAATGGATCTAGCACCAAAAAGACGGTCTAAACTCATTTACTTGATATGACGTCATACGACGCAGGTTCTAGGTTAAGCACTGTGACGAATAGTTCACTATCTATACTATGCAAACTGAAAAGATTTGGTTTATATTATGTTTTGCATGTTTTCATTTATTTCTAGCATCAAAAATAAATCTTTAGATATAGATTTTAAAAAATCCTCCAAATCATTGATCTTACTATGACATCATACTGTATTGGCAAATGGAATATCTGAGTGTAGCCTTAAAAACCCAGCAAAACAGCTGGGAACGTCTTACCATTACACATTAGTCCATCCCAATGATCGTCACAACTGTCTGGACATACTCCGGAGGAAGTATTACAGTATGTCCCATTTCTACAGTTTCCACAGAAGTTTTCACATGTCGGCCCATAAAATCCCGATTCACAATCTACGTAAAAAGTGAAAATTGAATTGGGGACAAACATATGTATAAAGTTCTTTTTTTGTCATTTAGTGGATAACTATAACTTGTTGATTATTTAATAGGTACATTCCTGTGTTACAGAAGCAACACACTGAGCAATTGAGCAATATAAAAATACATGTATATATGTAACTGTAAAATCTTAACTATTTTGGGAATGACAGAAATTTTTCAATAAAACAATTAGGTTAAAAATCGATTTTTCAAGATCATATAAATTAACAAATTTGAAGAACCTTTTAAATCAATGATTACAAAGGGTTAAATCAGGCAGGTACCGACATCCAAGGAACCATTACAATGACCCTGCCACGACATATCCCTATCATATTATCGCAAACTTTTCCAATGCTTCATTTGCCGCACTTGAATTCACAGGCTGCTCTATGAAATTAATCCATGCACGCTGATATGAAGAAGTATCGCATTCATTTAACATATACTACTGTAGGATAGATAAAATCCACCCAATATAGTATATTTAGAGGCGTGGCTCTTACAAGATTGGAAATGTATTCCCCTTCATGTCATTTTCTATCCCGCATTCTTGTTTATTGATATGAATATGTTTCTATGTTTCTACCACTGAATTTATTTCATTTCCAAGCGTAGGTGTAAAGACGAATAATGACCCCCATTGAAAAATGAGCCCCCAGCCGTAGAAAAATGTATTTTATGTAGAAAAAAAAAACCTAGGGATCAGTTTTCTACTTATAACACATTGTCATTCGTTAAAAAATGACTCCAATCCCAAGAGAGGAATACAAAGTTTAAATATGAAGTGACTAATTCCAAGCTTTTGGGTCAACGTTTAATTTTCATGCGTTTTTCTCTCGAACAGTGGACGTTAACAGATTTAAAATGTAATATGACTGCATGAAATGTGTTTCTTTCTATTGTACCTATTATTTCTTAGTTCGCGGTTAAACTCGCACAAAGGATTCGTCACAATGGCCATTGGTTAGAAGTGTAAACTTCATCTTTCTTTTTCATTTGTTTCTTATTTGGATATTGTACTGATTTCAGACTTTTATGGCCAATTAACTCTTAAAGTATATTGTTTGTTTATTGTTTAAGTCCCTCTCGAGAATTTTTCACTCATATGGAGCTTAAAGTATATGAAAAACGGGATGGCTTCTGATCCGGCTTGTCCATCGCCATTGAAAATTTCTGGGTCGATGAAATATGAAGATAGCGAACAGTATTCAATCTCGAAAGTCCAATGAAAGAATACAAATTTGGAGCAGAGCAAACCCGGATCTCAAAATTTAGAGGTGGGATCAGGTACCATGGAGGAGTGAGCATCCCCTGCCGAACGGTCACACCTGCCGTGTGCTCCTTGTCATGATCGAAAAATAACCCGGAAAAATCCGTAGACAGTTCAGTGTATAAATAATGGCCTAACAATTAGTATGAAAAACGTCAGTCAGCATTTGACTCAATAATAGATTGCTATGAGCTGACAAGGTCATTGTATCGACCGTAGAACTTGCAAAAAGATGACTTCTGTTGACATCCTTGTTTCATCAACTTGTTTTCAATAGCTTGCCTCGTTCTAGAAATTATCCATACGTAGAGCACACATTATGATGACCCTCTCAGCAAATGCATATTTTTCCCATTTTTTATATTGTAAGGTTATACATTTTGCAAGTTTAGAATCTTGATAAGTTTCGCAGCAATATTAAGGTTTCCTAAAGCTTTAAATGCCTTCAAAACATAACACTGCATTGCAAGGTCTATTTTTATTTTTATTTTTAAGTTATGTACTTAAGTACGGCCAATTTATATAGAGAGGTCTTTAGTCTATATATAAACGTATTTGTTACGATATCACATGACATCGTGGATCACGTGACGACCATTTCTTCTTTATTGAAGTGTTTCAGATAAATTGCTTCGTCGCAGCTGTTTAACACGACCATTATTAACTTTTTGTCACATAAAAACTCGTCGCATCCCTGTGAACCCGAAATGTGCTTGGGAAAAATTATTCTATTACGCCGGTAAAAATTACTTCACAATAAATTCAACTTACCGACAAATTTGAGGGTATTTCCACTCACTATCGTCATATGTATTAAAACAAAGCCATCACACATTTTTCCCAACCAAGATTCAGTTAGAGGGGAACTCTTCTTACAGATTTCCACAAAAGATCTCAAATAAATCCTCATTAATCACCTGCGCCAGGCTCATTTATACACATATTATAAATTCTACTTCTATCCAAGGGTATAAAAAAGGGTAAATGTCAAACGTATATTTTCGTATATATTCTGAACACGCTGACATTTAAACAAGAGAAATAAAGCAAAGTTATCTAAAGTATTCGGATATATAAGAGTTTAAAAAAATAGAAAGAAAGATTAAAACACGTTTATTTTACTGACATTTTATTTTTCTGACACTTTATATGCAGATTGAAATAAGGTGTAATTAAGAAATAAACAACAATGTAAAAAAGTTCTCTGGGAAATGAACTTGGTTGGTCACGTGATCAAATCCTGTGAAGCCCGAAGGGCTTTTCAGAAAATTTGATCACGTACCAACCAAGTTCATTTCCCAGAGAACTTTTTAACATTGTTATTTATTACTTTTATTTTCATTTAAGCGAATATTCTGAAAAGAACTGCATTTATTACACGAACGGCCGGCCGTATTGCTACGTTGTGACGCGCAATGACCTAGAAGCTGTTTGGTCTTGAGAGTTCG